ACGATAATTTTGACTAACAATGAGCTCTCAGGAACGGATTAATATCGCTGGTTGAGGGTCCACTGTAATGTTTACACAATTGAGGATGCTAAAGTGATCTCTCCAAAACTCTCTTAGAGTCAATAGTATGTCTGTGGTCACTACAAAGCACCTTTCAAACATAGCTTTTGTGTAGAGTTTTTTGAAGTTTGCAATGACCTGCTGGTCTACGGGCTGCAGGAGAGGAGTGGTATTAGGAGGCAAAAATTTGACCTTAATGAAGCTCATGTCCCAAGAAAGTCACTCTGCCACATCTGAAGGATGACCAGGAACATTGTCTAATACCAGGAGGCACTTAACCCTTTGACTGTCGAAGGGCCCAATCCTGAAGTTGCTCCTGGTGTCGCAAAATATTCGAAAAAAAAAAAATTATTTTTTCTTATGAAATGATAGAGAATCTTTTCCCGATTGTAAAGACACCAAAAAAACGAAATTTGATGGAAAACTGACGGAATTACGCTTTCGCGAAGTTAGCGACTTCGGTGATATTTAAAAATCGGCAATTTCGCCCACTTTGAGCCCTATTTTCGGCTAATTCCGTTATTCCAGTCAACCAAACTCATAACTATTTCTTCAGAACTCTATTTTTTCTATCGATTGAGCACAAGAAACTGCCCATTTACCGATTTCAACTACCCAATAACATGGTCAGAAATTTGCAATTTGGCCAATTTCACGAAAATTAAAAAATACGACAATTTCAAAATAAGGTCCAGAATGAACAATGCAGACATTCCTGGCTCTAAAATAAGATTTTCTTTGTTCATCAGTCATTTCTCCAGGTCCCTGTGATATTACTCTTGCTTTTTATTTTGAAATTTTATTCAAACAAAAAATAGAAGATTTACTGTTATGCAGACTACTGCAATACTGTAATAATTGTAAAAATTACATCAACCCATTTATGACTGCGTATTAGAATGGCTATTTGGACATTTATTGGACAATGACATCATTTGTTTACTTTTGAACATCGGCAAAAATCAAACATTTCCTGTACTTTGTGCTCCATTTCCAGGTTCTTTTTATAGCAAAATTAATCAAAATCACCTCCATTTCTATAATATAGTTTCCATTCTATCAAATGAGACCATGAAAACGAGAATACAACCACAAATACTATACGAAAATAGACCACAAATTCGGCATTTTAATTAAAAAAAAACGGTCGGAGTTTTTTTTTTCTTATTATGCACTGCGTGCTCCAGGATTTTTTTTATGTGGTGCACACTGACCACAAAGACCCATTCTCTCACATGTGGGCCTACTAGCTTTCTCCTGCCTGATTTAAAGCCGCTAGAATTTATGAGTATATATACGTCAAACACGGTACCTCACAAACGTATATATACGGCCGCGACAGTCAAAGGGTTAAGGTCCAATTTATTTTCCAGGAAGTAATTTTTCACAGTGGGGGCAAATGCTTGGTGTAACCATCATAGAAAAGGTCTCTAGTGACCCATGCCTTACTGTTTGCCCTCCACATCACACACAAATTAGCCTTGAGGACATTGTTTCTCCTGAACACTCTGGGAGTTTCAGAGTGATACACCAATAAAGGCTTCACTTTGCAACCACTAGCATTAGCACACATCAAGCCTGTCTTTCATAGGCTTATGTCCTGGGAGTGCCTTTTCCTCCTCAGTAATGTAGGTCCTGTTTGGCATTTTCTTCCAAAACGGGCCTGTTTCGTCACAATTAAACACTTCTTCAGGTTTCAGTCCTTCACTGTCTATGTACTCCTTGAATTCCTGCACATATTTTTCAGTCGCTTTGTGGTCCGAACTGGCAGCCTCACCATGCCTTATCACACTATGTATGCCACTACGCTTCTTAAATCTCTCAAACCAACCTTTGCTGGCCTTAAATTCACTCACATCACTAGTTGCAGGCATTTTTCTAATTAAATCCTCATGCAACTTCCTAGCCTTTTCACATATGATCGCTTGAGAGATGCTATCTCCTGATATCCGTTTTTCGTTTATCCACACCAATAACAGTCTCTCAACATCTTCTATCACTTGCGATCTCTTATTCGAAAACAAAGTTGCACCTTTGGCAAGAACAGCTTCCTTGATTGCCGTTTTCTTGGCCACAATAGTAGCGATGGTTGATTGGGGTTTCGTATACAACCTGACACGCACTCCACTTTCGTACTTAGCAATTATCTCTTTCTTCATATCCATAGTAATTCTCACCCTTTTTCCTGTATCGTTGGCACTAAAAGCTTTCTTGGGGCCCATGGTGACTTATTTTGCAGGGAAAAATCACTAAAAACACTGTGATAATATGAAATGTTCCGATTGTATGCGACCATGGTGGCTGGCTTGTAAATACTGGCCACCCATGGGACAAGTGAGGCGTGCTCAGGCTACATGTGGACACGTCTCTAACGAATCGCGTTGGGCGAGTTTTTTAGTGCTAGCTGAGGCAAAAATTTTTGCGCTAAAATGTATCACTAGCCGGATTTAACGTTAGGTGATGCCATCGTTAGCCGAGGGTCCACTGTATTTTGGTAAAAAATAAAAAAAAAATTTTTCCTCCATAAATTTAATTCTTGAGCTTTAATGTTATCTGACTTTGAATGTCACTCTTGAAGTGTTGCCAGTAATTGTGGACTTGCACTCATTTATTTTTATCTTGTCCTTAGTTTTTTTACCCAGCAATTTATTATTTTAAAGGCTGAGAGTTTATAGTTCTGGTTTTTTGCTTTGTCAATTGTCTAGTCTTGTGTAACAGCTTCATGTTAATGCACGCACGCACGCACGCACGCACATGCACGCACGCACGCGCACACATGCGCACACACACACACATGCATGCGAGCGCCCGCGCGTGCACACACACACACACACATCTGACAGGGAAGCAACGAGTCATGGTACATGACGAGGTGTCAGAGTGGATGCCTGTGATAAGATGGGTTCCAGAGGGGTCAGTCCTAGAACCTGTGCTGTTTTTGGTACATGTGAATGACATAACGGAAGGGATAGACTTAGAAGTATCCTTGTTTGTAGATGTGAAGTTAATGAGAATTAAATTGGTTGAGGATCAGGCAGGACTACAGAGAGACCTGGACAGGCTATAAGCCTGATCTAGCATCTGGCTCCTGGAATTAAACCCTGCCAAATGTAAAGTCATGAAGATCGGGGAAGGGCAAAGAAGACTGCAGACACAGTATAGTCTAAGTGGCCAAAGACTGCAAACCTCACTCAAGAAAAGAGATCTTGGGGCGAGTATAATACGAAGCACATCTGAGGCACACATCCATCAGATAACTGCTGCAGCATACGGGCCTCTGGCAAACCTAAAGATAAATACCTCAGTAAGAAACTGTTCAAGACTCTGTACACCATATACATTAGGCCCATACCAGAGTATGCAGCACCAGTTTGGAATCCACACCTGGTCAAGCATGTCCAGAAATTAGAGAAAGTGCAAAGGTTTGCAACAAGATTAGTCCCAGAGCTAAGGGGACTGTCCTATGAAGAAAGGTTAAGGGAAATTGGCCTGACAACACTGGAGGACAGGAGGATCAGGGGAAACATGATAACGACATATAAAATACTGCGTGGAATAGACAAGGTGGACAAAGACAGGATATTCCAGAGATGGGGCACAGAAACAAGGGGTCACAACTGGAAGCTGAAGACTCAGACGAGTCAAAGGGATGTTAGGAAGTAGTTCTTCAGTCATAGAGTTGTCAGGAAGTGGAATAGCCTAGAAAGTGACGTAATGGAGGCAGGAACCATACATAGTTTTAAGATGAGGTTTGATAAAAGATCATGGAGTAGGGAGAGAGAGAGGACCTAGTAGCAATCAGTGAAGAGGCAGGGCCAGGAGCTATGACTCAACCCCTGTAACCACAAATAGGCAAGTACACACAAATAGGCAAGTACACACACAACACACACACACACACACACACACACACACACACAGTGAACCCCCGGTTTTCATGCGATGTGAAAATTGTACAATTTGGATTTTGAGCACTTTTTTCGGAGAAATTTTCCCCTGGATTTCGTACATCTGCTTGGAAATAGTCTCTTGTTGAGTCAGTAATACTCTGCATGTTCATCCACTGTTTCTTGTGCTTGTTTATTGATTGCAACTGTGAAATAAGCCACCATGGGGCCAAAGAAAGTTCAGAGTCATGGTAAATAAGGTGAGAAACATGATAGAATTCAAGGAAGAACTCGTAGAGTGAGTTGCAAAGTTTTGTGGAGAAATATCACTACCACCCTCTACCACTGTAGAGTGGTAGTGATGGTGGTAGTGATAGTGGTAGATGGTGGTAGTGATGGCAAACAATCGAAGATGCTGAGCTGCTGCTGTTGGTGTGGATCAACAAAAAAGTTAGCGGGAGATAGTGTTGTGGAGGCGATAATTTGCAAAAAGGCAAGGCAGCTGTATGTGGATCTTGTAAATATGCCAACAAGAGTCTTCAATAAAGGTAAAACTGATTTAATGTACATTTATCCATTAAAATTAGTGCTTTATATTTATTTCTTTGTTTTCTGTATGTAAAACTATAGTTATTCTCTAAAAAATTAATATTTTGTTAATATTTTTGGGTGTCTGGAATGGATTAATTAGATTTACATTATTTCTTATGGGAAATATTACTTTGGGTTTTGTTCATTTCTGATTTCGGCCGACCTTCTGGAATGGATTAAGGACGAAAACCGGGGTACTACTCTATATACATAAACTATCAGAAAATACATATAACAAGCCAATTTTGAAAGTTCATTTATATAACAAATATATTGCCAAGAAGAAAATATATTGCTTGAAATGTAAGGCTTTGTAACTTGCCAAAAACAAAAAAAATTCAAGAGACTTATCAAGAGCAGGTACTGCAGTTTTATTGAATGTATGCATGTCCAGCTAAAATAAACTGAAAAACATAAATGGATTCATCTTTACATTAGTGAAAAGAATTCAAAACACCTTAGTACTTAAGTATTTTAGATTTAATTTTTTCACAACAAAAATTTTATTTTTAATATGCCAAGGAGTTTACATTAGGATAATGGCACATAAGCATATACGTGTAAAACTGTGGTGTATACAGGGAAGCACTCTTGTAACACCAAAAATTTTACATTTAAACTAATACACATTTCTTACATTAACTTTAAACCTGATAAAAAGTACAATGGAAGCTCAAATCACCCTACCTTTCATGGTGAAAGCTATACTAAATATAAATTATGCATCGCATCTTATGTTATTCATTTTTAAATTATTCATATGTACTGTATCATAGGGAAGCACTTTATGCAAGGACATTCCTTTCCAGGGTTACTTAAAATCAATGAAGCACATGTTAACTATGAATTTAATATTTCAGATGAAATCTAAAGCCCAGCACAATTAACCCTTAAACTGTCCAAACAGATCTACATTCACATGCGTAGTGCTCCAAAAGTAGATCTACGTTTTTTTACATACTTTCAAATGTTGAAAAACATAGATCTACGTTTGGACAGTTTAAGGGTTAAAGGTGATAATGCCATGTACCAGCTGAATTTGAATCATTGTCCTTCATTTACCAATTTCATAACAGCACGTATTAGAGAAAATGAGTATCAATTGCTGCAGTCTCGTCATATTTTGTTATGCACACACATTATATATATATATATGTATATAATATATAGATATATATTATATAAAAGTCTTAGGAAGCACACACTGTAGCTTAATCTTGTGATGCACTGTAAAATATTTGGAAAAAATATATATGTTAATCTGTTACTCTGAAGCTAGGCACTTACAGGCTTGTCATGGAAACATTACATTAAATTTTTCCTTATCTATGAATAGCACATACCAAAGTTACCAATACTTTATAAAACATAGTACATTTAAAAATACCTGTACACCAGTATACTTGTGAGTTTCATAATAAAACAAAAATTGACATTACTCTACAGAATGAAATATAAAATCCAAGAATTAAAGAAATAGAGAAATAAAGCCTCTAAGAAATTTAAAAAATACAAAAAGTGTAATAAACATTTATCAATGAACAAAGTATTTCACAACCTTAATATAAATGTTACCAAAAAAATAAAAAAATATATTCAAGATTTGTGACAAACATTTAGTAAATAAAAGAGCAGCATGTCTCAACAAGAAAAAATAAATTTAGGTATAAACCAATCAAACATACAAACATTAATCTCCTTATAAAGGTAATATCAAGATTTACTCAGCCAGAACCAACTCTGTCTTGTTATCCTTTGTAATGAGTTGCACAAGACTGCCAGATGCAGGTCGATCGCTCCCAGTTGTCCACTTGTGGAAAAGCCTGTTTAAAATATATTTTCTATACATGTGTCTTATTTTAAATTTAATATTGCTGTTTATACACAAATAACCCGCACATAAAAGACAGAAGCTTACGACGACGTTTCGGTCCGACTTGGACCATTGACATAAGTCAATGGTCCAAGTCGGACCGAAACGTCTCGTAGCTTCTGTCCTTTTGTAGGGTTATGACTGAGATCGTCTCCAGTCACGTGTCATTGTGAAGCCTTTTATGTTATTTATATGTGTTTATTCTACTTATATTGTTTTATTCTTAACTATATTCTCACCAGGCACAGTACTTCTTTTTAACCCTTTCACTGTCTAGACCCTTGAAATTAACCCTTAAATAGTCCAAACGTATATATACGTTTTTTCAACATCTGAAAGTATGTAAAAAAAATGTAGATCTTTTTTTTTGTTTTACATGTGAAAACGTGTAGGAAAAACTTTTATCTACATTTTTTTTTTGTTATATTTGAAAAATGTAAAAAAAAGGTAGATCTACTTTTGTAGCACTACGAATTTGAATGTCGATCTGTTTGGACCGTTTAAGGGTTAATATTGCTCTCAGTGTCCACTTTTTAAAAAGTAAATATATTTTTTTTCTGAAATAGTCGAGAATCTTTTTTTTGAAAGTGATGACACCAAAAGTGTGAAATCTGCTTGAAAACTTACAGGATTATGTTGGTGCAAAGTTAGCAGTCTGGACGCACTTTATGCACTGGCAATGTCACCAGCTTTGAGTCCCATTATAAGTAAATTCCACCACTACATTCAACCAAATTCTTAAACTATTTTGCTAGTATGCCTTCTGTTCTGCTTTACTGATAGAGCATAAGAAACCACCCATTTAACTATAAAGAGTACAGAAGGTGGTAATTTGCCAATTTTACACAAAATTAAACAAATTTAAAAATAAAAGTGCAAAGTAAACAATGTAGATATTCCTGACACTAAAACCATTTCCTCTGTTCATTAATCATGCCCCCCAGGCCTCTCCTATATTACACTTTTTCTTCCATTTTGAGTTCATAATCACAAAAACAGGTTCTCTCTTTTTTCAACAAACCAGCCATATCCCCACCAAGACAGGGTGACCTAAAAAGAAAAACAAAAGTTTTTCTTTTTAAATTTAGTAATTTATACAGAAGAAAGGGTTACTAGCCCCTTGCTCTTCATTTTATCAATTTCCCAGATAATAAAATATAACTAGGAATGATTTTCATGTTTTATAGCATCCCAGTAATCAAATCAGACCTATTAAAAACATATAAAACAGATCTGGGGTGTACAGGGGCCTTACCTGTCCTCCAGAAAAATCAGCAAATATCAAATACTAACAGTACTTCAAGCCCAATTTCAAGCTACTTCCGGTTGTGAAACCAACTAAAAGAATACCAAGTAACAGTCAATAAAACCATAAAACTAAGCTAGAAAACAACTATACTGCATAACCAAACAGTTAAGATTAGAAATTTGCTTTTCCATCATGCACTATTTGGGGCAGGACTTTTTTTTACACTGCACACTTTTTGTGCAGACCCATTCTCTCATATCTAGGGCAAAATTTACCACTCAGCTTATCTGAGAGAGCTGAGCTCATGACATAGAACTATGAGAGGGACCTCAAACAATGTGAAAACACTGTATATGTTGACTACTGATGTATAAAACCAATTCACTCATGCCTAAAATATACCCCCCTTCATGTCTTGTGCTTGGGGATTTAGCAGAAATCTAATTTGAGAACAGGCATTATTATTTTTATAATCAAAGAAAGAGCTAAGCCAACAAGGGTCATACAGCACTGGGGGGCAGAAAATACGGCTGGGGTTATAAACATCTAGGTGGAGAGGGGATCAGAGGTGAGGGAAGAAAAGGGCTGGAAGGGACGCTAAGAGCTATGTGTTAGTTTGTACAGTACAGCAGTTGCAGACAAAAAGTAAAAAAGTGATTGCAAGAAAGAAAGAAAAGGTAAGAGTGGTAGTGTGGTGGCGTTGTAAGTAAATCCTGTGAGTTCACTGGTAAACCGGGCAATCTACAGGAAAGTGAAGAACCGAAATAGGGACCTGGCAAACCTCACAGAGGAAATGGGTGTCATTCCATGAGATACCCAGGGGTAAGGCAAGTATGGCCAATGCAGAGACAGGAGAGTGCAGTTTCCCCGAGTACAGCAACGGTAGTAAGAAGATGGCCACAAACCTAAAAGCGGTTGAACAGAGTGCAATTTGCTATGGTGCATGCCCGACCATCATTGTTGCCAACGGCCACGAAGACAGACCAAGATGACTCCAAAATAATCTCTGAATGGAATACCTCTATAGGAAACCAGAAGATCATGCACTGCTGACCACACAACAGCATCCGCTTGTTCATTGCCCTGCACATCAACGTGTTCAGGGACCCAACAGAAAACGACGTCTTTGTTTTTGCTAGCCACACGGCGCAACCATAGTTGAATACAAAGGACTAATGGATGAGGGGAATCAAACTGCTTAATGGCTTGTAAAGCAGTGAGGGGAATCTGAAATGATCACAAGCACTATGAGGAAGGCATACAACTCGGCAGTAAAAATACTAGCCGAGTCTAACAAATGACCTTGGACAACATCGTCAGTGAACACCACTGCAAACCCAACACCGTCAGAAGATTTAGAACCATCTGTATAAACAGCAACAGCATGAGCATGCGACTGGAAGTGATCAGGAAAAACAGAGCAAGAAGCAGTCATAAGTAGGAGAGCTTTGGCACACGGCAGTAGGGGAGAGCAGACAAACTGTCGGAACCTCCCAAGGGGAAAGGGAAAAGGCAGACACTAAATGAACATACAAGGGAGGCAATTGGAGAGAAGACTGGAGTGAGTGTAGATTAAGAGAAAATGGTTGGAGTAAGCATGGGCTTCTACTAACATCTGAGACCAACCTATACGCAGACAGAACACAAAGGTCATGAGAGTGGACAAAGTAACAAAGGCAATGAGCCTCAGCATAGAGGCTTTCAACAGGGAAATGAATGAAAGGCACCAAGGCATAAACGTAGACCCTGATGATGAAGGGGATCTAACTTAGAGTGGAAGGAGAAGCTGCAGAATAGACATGGTCGACAAAATCCAGCTTGGACAAGACTATAGTGGAATGCAAACATAGAAGAGTCCGACAATCTGCTCCCCATGAATGATGAGCAAGAATTTTAAGGAGATTCAGCCGACCATGGCAAGCTGCCTTCAAAGAGGAAATGTAAGGGTTCCATGTCAACCGGCGATAAAAGAGGACAAGAAACTAGACCATATCACATTCTGGAATACGTAAGCCATGTAAATACAATGGAATATCTGGGACAAGAGGACATCTAATGAAGGTAATGAAATGGGTTTTCGTACTAGAAAATTTGAATCCATGAGAAGTGGCCCAATGGGAAACTCGGTCAATCGCATCCTGAAGGGAGGCCACTACCAGGTGACAGCCAGTGCCTGCGTAAGCTATAACGAAGTCATCCACAAAGTGATGACCAAATATGCGATGGAAGAATGGAAGATAGGTCATTTATAGCCAAGAGAAAAAGGGTAGTGCTAAGGACACAACCTTGTGGGACACCCTCAGCCTGAACAAAGTCTGAGGAAAGTGAGGTGCCAACACGGACACGAAAATGTCTGTCAAATAAGAAAGTAAGGAAAGTTGGTAGATTACAGCGGAGGCCTAAGGAGTGGGCTTGGGCTAAAATATTATACCTCCAAGTGAAGTTGTATGCCTTCTCAAGATCAAAAAAGACTGCTATGATGGAGTGTTAGCAAAGGTATTTTGCACGTACATATCTAAGTGGAGCAAGGGGTCCAAAGTAGAGCGGCTGTTGCCAAAGCCATATTGGCGAGGGAAAAGACTACTGTAAGTCTCCAAATACCATATCAGACATCTATTCAGAAATGTTGCAGATATATCTTTTTTCTCTCTCTTTTTTTTTTAATTTATGATTTTTATGTTCTGATAATTACAATTTGTAGTAGTTCTTGTGATTTCATAGCCAATCTTTGTTCTAACACTAATACAGGTACTGAAATAGTAACTGAATAGTTACAAACACACTGAGAGATGAACATTTTCACTACGCACACCAAGTGTTAAGACCCATTCTGTACTAACCAGGCATCTCAGACCAATCATGCCAAATTTGGAGGCAGGAAAACCAAAATGTTGATCTACGTTTAAAACGCTAGCGGTAACAACGTAGAGCTACGTCTGGACAATGGAAATAGGTACATGTGTGTTAGTCAACTGGTGTAGGCTGCATCCTGGGAACAAAACTGACTGAATTTGCCCAAAATACTTTGCATAACAAGGGACTTTCTATATAGCAGTATGTCATTGATGTCAGCTAAGCCTGTATATGTTATACATGTTTATTTTTTTTTTATTATCACACTGGCCGATTCCCACCAAGGCAGGGTGGCCCGAAAAAGAAAAACTTTCACCATCATTCACTCCATTACTGTCTTGCCAGAAGGGTGCTTTACACTACAGTTTTTAAACTGCAACATTAACACCCCTCCTTCAGAGTGCAGGCACTGTACTTCCCATCTCCAGGACTCAAGTCCGGCCTGCCGGTTTCCCTGAATCCCTTCATAAATGTTACTTTGCTCACACTCCAACAGCACGTCAAGTATTAAAAACCATCTGTCTCCATTCACTCCTATCAAACACGCTCATGCATGCCTGCTGGAAGTCCAAGCCCCTCGCACACAAAACCTCCTTTACCCCCTCCCTCCAACCTTTCCTAGGCCGACCCCTACCCCGCCTTCCTTCCACTACAGAATGATACACTCTTGAAGTCATTCTGTTTCGCTCCATTCTCTCTACATGTCCAAACCACCTCAACAACCCTTCCCAGCCCTCTGGACAACAGTTTTGGTAATCCCGCACCTCCTCCTAACTTCCAAACTACGAATTCTCTGCATTATATTCACACCACACATTGCCCTCAGACATGACATCTCCACTGCCTCCAGCCTTCTCCTCGCTGCAACATTCATCACCCACGCTTCACACCCATATAAGAGCGTTGGTAAAACTATACTCTCATACATTCCCCTCTTTGCCTCCAAGGACAAAGTTCTTTGTCTCCACAGACTCCTAAGTGCACCACTCACTCTTTTTCCCTCATCAATTCTATGATTCACCTCATCTTTCATAGACCCATCCGCTGACATGTCCACTCCCAAATATCTGAATACGTTCACCCTCCATACTCTCTCCCTCCAATCTGATATCCAATCTTTCATCACCTAATCTTTTTATCCTCATAACCTTACTCTTTCCTGTATTCACCTTTAATTTTCTTCTTTTGCACACCCTACCAAATTCATCCACCAATCTCTGCAACTTCTCTTCAGAATCTCCCAAGAGCACAGTGTCATCAGCAAAGAGCAGCTGTGACAACTCCCACTTTGTGTGTGATTCTTTATCTTTTAACTCCACGCCTCTTGCCAAGACCCTCGCATTTACTTCTCTTACAACCCCATCTATAAATACACTATATTAAACAACCACGGTGACATCACACATCCTTGTCTAAGGCCTACTTTTACTGGGAAAAAATTTCCCTCTTTCCTACATACTCTAACTTGAGCCTCACTATCCTCTTCACTGCTTTCAGTAACCTACCTCCTACACCATACACCTGCAACATCTGCCACATTGCCTCCCTATCCACCCTGTCATACGCCTTTTCCAAATCCATAAATGCCACAAAGACCTCTTTAGCCTTATCTAAATACTGTTCACTTATATGTTTCACTGTAAACACCTGGTCCACACACCCCCTACCTTTCCAAAAGCCTCCTTGTTCATCTGCTATCCTATTCTCCGTCTTACTCTTAATTCTTTCAATTATAACTCTACCATACACTTTACCAGGTATACTCAACAGACTTATCCCCCTATAATTTTTGCACTCTCTTTTATCCCCTTTGCCTTTATACAAAGGAACTATGCATGCTCTCTGCCAATCCCTAGGTACCTTACCCTCTTCCATACATTTATTAAATAATTACACCAACCACTCCAAAACTATATCCCAACCTGCTTTTAACATTTCTATCTTTATCCCATCAATCCCGGCTGCCTTACCCCCTTTCATTTTACCTACTGCCTCACGAACTTCCCCCACACTCACAACTGGCTCTTCCTCACTCCTACAAGATGTTATTCCTCCTTGCCCTATACACGAAATCACAGCTTCCCTATCTTCATCAACATTTAACAATTCCTCAAAATATTCCCTCCATCTTCCCAATACCTCTAACTCTCCATTTAATAACTCTCCCCCTATTTTTAACTGACAAATCCATTTGTTCTCTAGGCTTTCTTAACTTGTTAATCTCACTCCAAAACTTTTTCTTATTTTCAACAAAATTTGTTGATAACATCTCACCCACTCTCTCATTTGCTCTCTTTTTACATTGCTTCACCACTCTCTTAACCTCTCTCTTTTTCTCCATATACTCTTCCCTCCTTGCATCACTTCTACTTTGTAAAAACTTCTCATATGCTAACTTTTTCTCCCTTACTACTCTCTTTACATCATCATTCCACCAATCGCTCCTCTTCCCTCCTGCACCCACTTTCCTGTAACCACAAACTTCTGCTGAACACTAACACTACATTTTTAAACCTACCCCATACCTCTTCGACCCCATTGCCTATGCTCTCATTAGCCCATCTATCCTCCAATAGCTGTTTATATCTTACCCTAATTGCCTCCTCTTTTAGTTTATAAACCTTCACCTCTCTCTTCCCTGATGCTTCTATTCTCCTTGTATCCCATCTACCTTTTACTCTCAGTGTAGCTGCAACTAGAAAGTTATATATGTACTTGTAGAAATAATTATTATTAGTATACAGTACATTTTTCTTCTTTCAACGTACCGGCCATATCCCACTGAGGCGGAGTGGCCCAAAAGGAAAAACAGAAGTTTCTCCTTTTACATTTAGTAATATACACAAGAGAAGGGATTACTAGCCCCTTGCTCCTGGCATTTTAGTCGCCTCTTACAACACACATGGTTTACGGAGGAAGAATTCTGTTCCACATGGATATAAGCAGAAATAAACAAGACTAGTAAGAAAATAGAAGAAAACCCAGAAGGGTGTGTATATATTTGCCTGTACATGCAAGTGTAGTGTGACCTAAATGTAAGTAGAAGTAGCAAAATGTACCTGAAATCTTGCATGTTTATGAGACAAAAAAAGACACCAGCAATCCTACCATCATGTAAAACAATTACAAACTTTTGTTTTACACTCACTTGGCAGGATGGTAGTACCTCCTTGGGTGGTTGCTGTCTACCAACCTACTACTTAGGTGTACAGTACTTACTCGGCAATAAATTCTAGGGAGGTCCAAGTTGAGAAGTCGGCACCTGACATCCACTTCCTATTCATGGGTGTATCTAATGTGACTGGAAGTATGGCAACTGCTGTGGCCCCTTGTGGCAATCCTGACTTTTCCTGACCAAGACTTTTAGTTAATTGATGCACAGCTGCCTTTGCCAGACCATATCCAATCATGCCTAAAAATTTAAGCAAACACAAAATATTGAGGTCATAAATAAAATTATATACTGTATAGCAATATTACACAATGCTATAAAGCTATATCTTCTTAGGAATGGTGCAATTTGTATTTGGGTGTCTGAATTATGGGAAATTCTGAAATTTCTCTTCCAAATATTTTTTTTAATTGAAGAAACTTTTTACTTTCTGTAGTAAAATTTGGGGAAAAAAAAATGAAAAATGCTGTTCATAAGCATCTAAAATATACTTCAAAAATTTTCACTGATATTCAGAAGATTCTTAATTTTGGAGAATTTTTCAAAACTCACAAATTGCAAAACAAATCTTCCATTCTGAATACAGTGGAAACTTGGTTGTTGAAGGAACTAACTGTCAAACGAATCAGTTTTCCAACAGATTTGTTCAATTTGCTCTTCATATGTGGTCTTGGTTGTCTACCAATAACACTTGGATCACGTGATCACCAGACATTCCACAACGTAGGTCTCAGTCAGTATAGCAACTAATGTTAATGCTGTAAACATCTCTTGAGCTGCTCCTGTGCATCTTGTGAAAGTAATGAAACCAAAAGTACAAAATTTGATGGAAAACTTATGGAATTATGCTACTGCAAAGCTAGCGATCTTGGCAATATTTATGCATCAGCATTTTGCCCAATTTGAGCCCTATTTTGGGCCAATTCCATCATTCCAGTCGGCCAAACTTATAGCTATTTCACTAGAAGTCCTTTCATTCTATCCATTGAGTATAAGAAACTGCCCATTTACCTATTTCAACTACCCAATAAAGTGATCTGAAATTACTAATTTGGCCAATTTCACACGAAATTCAAAAAAGATCAATTTCAAAATAGGGTCCAGCATAAACAATGCAGACATTCCTGGCACTAAAATAACACTATCTGCTCATTAGTCACGTCTCCAGGTCCCCCTTATATTATGCTTGTTTTTCATTTTAAATTCTTATTCACACAAAAAATAGACGACATATTGTTACTGAGACTACTGCATAATTGTAATAACTGTATAAATAATATCAGAGCATTCAGCATTCATAAATGCATATTAGACTCACCAGTTGATGTGTATTGGACGCTTGACATGATTTGTTTACTTGAACATCGGCAAAAATCGAACATTTCCTGTTTGAGCTCAATTTCAAGCTACTTTTAGTCTTTAAACCATTCAAAATCATCTCTATTTCTGCAATATATCTTTCCATTCTATCAAATTAGACTAAATAAACAAGTATAACCATAAATACATATGAACATTACAATGCAAAATTGCTGTTTTAAACCAAGAACAGTATTGTTTTTTTTTCATTATGTACTGCATGCTGCTGGATTTTTTTTATACTGCACACACTGACCATGCAGACTCATTCTCTCACATGTAGGTCTACCAGCTTTCTCCCACAAGATTTGAAGCTGCTAGAACTTTGCCATTAGCTCTCCTCTGACAGATAAGAGGCAGTTAAATTTTCATTTACTGTAGAGTATTTCAGTTAAATTTTCATTTAGTATTAATTTTTACAGTTTCTGCATCCTGTATAATTTTACACATTGTTTTAGGTAGCAGTTAGTACATTATTATTAATAAATTATCATATCGACATTTTTTGTCTGGAATGGATTAACTCTATTTACAATTTTCTTTATGAGAAAAATTGGTCTGGCTTTTGACCACTTTGGTTGTCAAACTGACATCTGGAATGAATTAAATTTGACAACCGAGGTTCCACTGTTTCCAATTTTCTGTACTTGCTTTTAAAATTGAAGAGAAATTTAAATAGGTATTATTACTATTATTGCTGTCTCAGATCAAAAACAATGCTATAATTACTCCACTCATTTTATCCTTACCTGGAGTTCCATTAATTGCAGCTTGTGCACCAGGAAGGGATACCAGTCCCCCTTCTTTAAGAAAGCAAGAGGCAGCCTGAGCTGTGATGGTAGATGACCATACACTCTGGGACCACATGGACTCACAGCTCTTTAGAAAATCTTACAATGAACAGAAAAAAAATTATACATATATTAATATAAGGATTACTCAAAAGAATTGTTACAACTTCGAACCAAGCAAGATAAGAAAAATCATTAAAAAAAATCTTACTGACATGACTTGACAGTCAATGAGAGATATAAAACCTAACATGTAAAAAAATTCTTAATCTGATAATGGGCTGATTTATGTTTCTTGTAAAGAGGTATCGATAACAGAAGGCAGTACAGTATGCCAGTCAATTCTAGCATTTACAAGAATAACTCTTCAGTTACTATTTTTTAAAAAATCACATCACTATTTTAAATAACTTTGAATGCACAGGGTTCAAACCTATGAGAAGCCAATCCTAAAACTAGCAGGCCAGTGCCCTCACTACTGGACTATAAATGTATTAATTCAAGGATTATGTGGAGTAAAATAAATGTTGGATGTGAGAAGTGGGTTACAGTAAGCATATATGCACCTGGGGAAGAGAGAAGTATAGAGGAGAGAGAGAGAGATTTTGGGAAATGTTGAGTGAATGCGTGGGGAGTTTTGAACAAAGTGTGAGAGTACTTGTAGTTGGGGATTTTAACCCTTTCAGGGTCCAAGGCCCAAATCTGAAGTGGTGCCCCAGTGTCCAAGAATTTTCAAAAAAAAAATTTGTTATTTTTTCTTATGAAATGGTAGAGAATCTTTTTGTGAAGGTAATAAAACAAAAAGTACAAAATTTGATGGAAAATTGACGAAATTATGCTCTCGCGAATTTTGATGTGTCAGCGATATTTACAAATCGGCGATTTTGCCGACTTTGACTTCCATTTTAGGCCAATTATATTATTCCAGTCGAACAAATTCTTAGTTATTTCACTAGTATTACTTCTATTCTATCGATTGAGCACAAGAATTCGCCAAGTCAACTGTTTCAACTACAAATTAAAGTGATCGGAAATTGTTAATTTGGCCAATTTAACACAAAGTTCAAAATATTCCAATTTCAAAATAGGGTCCAGAATAAACAATGTAGGTATTCCTGGAACTAAACTAACATTTCCTCTGCTCAATAGTTATGTTTTGAGGCTTTACAAATAAATTTCATTTTGATTTTTTATTCACATAATGAATTTTTATTCACACCAAAAAATAGAAGACTTACTGTTATGCAATACTGTAATAATTGTATAAATATCATCACAATATTTGTGAATGCATATTAGACCCACCAGCCGGTGTGTATTAGACATGTGAGGTCGTTTGTTTACTCTTGAATGTCGGCAAAAATTTAACATTTCTGCTACTTTGAGCTCAGTTTCAAGCCATTTCCAGTGCTAAAACCAATCAAAATCATCTCTATTTCTGTAATATGTCTTCCATTCTATCAAATGAGACCAAGAAATCGCAAATACAACTATAAAAAACATACGAAAAAACACTGCAAAGTCGCTGTTTTAATCGAAAAATCATGATTTCAGTTTTTTTTCTCTTATTATACACAGTGTGCTGCAGGATCTGTTTTATGTGGTGCACACATACCACAGATGTATTCTCTCATATCTAGGCCCAAATGTACCACTCACAGTTTATCAGAGTGAGCTGAGCTCATGACGTAGATCTACGGTTTGGACCCTGAACGTAAAGCCGTAGATCTATGAGACGGACCCTGAAAGGGTTAATGCTGAAGTGGGTAAAAATGTTGTGGAGGGAGTAGTAGGTAAATTTTGGGTGCCAGGGGTAAATGAAAATCGGGAGCCTTTAATTGAGCTATGTGTAGAAAGAGGTTTGGTAATAAGTAATACATATTTTATGAAAAAGAGGATAAATAAATATACAAGGTATGATGTAGCACAATATGAAAGTAGTTTGTTAGATTATGTATTGGTGGATAAAAGGTTGATGGGTAGGCTCCAGGATGTACACGTTTATAGAGGGGCAACTGATACATCGGATCATTATCTAGTTGTAGCTACAGAAGCTGACCTAACAGAGTCAGAATAAATATGAAGTCTGTACCCACTTCCACAAGTACATTTAGTGTTATGAGACCCTAAATTTTTTTTTTCATCCAATTTTTTCTGTAAAACCTAGTTCTCATTTCCATATTGTCAATCTGACAGCAGTGATTCTAAGCTGTCCAATCACAACCTCATATTTTATATTCTTGTTAAAAACCTCAAGATCATCATCTTGTTTGCCTAAGAAGATATAGATTTCTGTTTTTTTTTTATACATTTGTAACTATGTTTTGCAGTCCTCCATTAGTTAACTACTTTATTTTTTATTCTCTAGTGTGTGCCATCTATAACAATTCAAAGTTTATTCTCTATAAGGATTACAATGCGGGGTTTACAGATTTTGGTTATTGTGTGGTTTACATGTAGTAAAATACTAATTACAGAGGGGGCCACTAGAACACCTAGCAAGGCTAGGCATTTTGGGCAAACTTAGATTAATTCTTAACCCTAAATTATTACAAATTGTGGAGCAAGTTGACTAAATACTAAGTGACTAAATACTAAGCGACTAAATACTAGTTTGTGAGTTTAGCAATGTGAATGCTTTTGTTTTGGCACAATACATAGTTTCTATATTGGAGTATCACAGGCAAACTTGCGACTAGTTAGAAATCATTATTTTAATATTAAGATACGTATTTCTGTGCTTATAGTCAAATGGGTGAGTAAGTGTGAACCACCAGGTGGTTTTTATGTAGTTAGTTGACGAGGTGTATCAGGGAGACGAGATGTTTTCTAATAGTAGTTTTGAATGTGATGAATGTGTCTGCAGTTCTAGAGTTTTCAGGTAGGGTGTTCCAGATTTTAGGGCCTTTGACATACATTGAATTTTTGCTTGTGGGTCCTGTCACAACTATCAAGAAAGCATTTTAATTCAAGGTTAATATTGGAATTTAAGGTCCTGTATATGTAGATTGCACAGTAGTAAGTGTGGATGTTCTGAACAGGGAGTAAGTTTAGATCTATGAAGAGTGGGGGGGGGGGGGGGGTGTTGCCAGGGATGGGATTTAGTGATTATTCTTACTGCAGCTTTTTGTTGAGTTATTATTGGCTTTAGGTGTATTGCTGCAGTTGAACCCCAAGCACAAATAGCATAGGTGAGGTATGGATAAATGAGTGAATGATATAGTGTGAGAAGGGCATTTTGCGGCACGTAGTATCGTATCTTGGAGAGGATCCCAACTGTTTTGGATACTTTTTTTGATATGTGTTGGATATGGGTGCTGAAATTCAGGTTGTTGTTGAGGTATAGGCCTAGTTATTTGCCCTCATTATGTTTGGCAATTAGAGTGCTGTCAATCTTAATGTTCAGTTGTGCAGCACCTGTTCTGCTACCAAACATAATACAGTAGGTTTTGTCTGTGTTAAGTTTAGGTTTATTAGCTGTCATCCAAGTTGATATTTTGAGCAGCTCTTCATTAAGGCCCAAATAAGAAATCACCTCATCACCCAAGATTAGCCAGACAAACCATACCTAACTACTACCAGTTTCTCAAAAGCTACTCATTGTGCTGATGAATGCTCAACCACTTACTACTTTGAAATTAGGAGGTCTGTTCTTTTCATTGTTTTAAATAGTAGTAGACTAATACATCACACTGTATATTGTTTTAAATTGTTACATGGTAATACTGTAATCTATATTAACTAATTCAATAGTGTAAAAAGTCTCTACTAGACTTATCAAAAACATGTAGCATCACCTGATATAATATTCAATTCTCCTGTACTCACTAACTCATCTAATGACCATATGAACTATGTATTATTACCTTACTATTCTTAAGTTAATCTTTAAGTTTGCCTGAAATGCTCAGCATACAGAGGGGCTTTTGGTATGTACACCCAACTATTATATTCCTCTGAACAACCATGTAATTTGTCAAAATAAAAAATCTAAATCTAAAAATAACCCACATTTCCTTACCAAATTGTACACAACATACAGGAACTCACTACCCCTATAACAAAAACACTATACTGTAGATGAATGCATTTAAAAAAAAGTAGCAACCAAGAAAAATGCAGAACTGTATTGCAAAATGGTGTGGGAGGTAGTTGTTGCTGCTGCTTATTTAAGGGCTACAACTTCTTGAGTTGTATGAGCCCTGCTCACAGTGATGTATATGGCCAATACAGCTCAATATTGCACATGCTGTAACGGCTCTATAAACACCAGTCATGGGGAAGTCGTAAACTTGTAGGGAGAATGGGAGGACTTGGGTTCAACCCAAGGAAGGGGAGGGCAGATTTAATTCCTTTGGATCAAGAGCCCATCACTAGCAACAAGGAACTTCCCTTGAGGCATTCATTATACAATTTTCTAATTACTAATCCACACTATTATCAATAACCAACATACTCAACAATTGTAGAAATACAGCTAAAATACATCATGTTAAGGCACAAGAATGTTTAATTAATGGTTGCTAGCCTCCATGCACCTGATCCCAGCTCATTTTTTTTAAAAACTTTATGGTGCAGTCAACCCTTTTCCATGAAATTAGGATCTGGATATAATGTTTCAATTGCAGTTTATTGAAAAATGTGATCCCTGGACACATGATATACAAGATTCTACTGTATATTTAATCATAACTACAGTGGACCCCCGGATTAAGTAATTAATCTGTTCCAGAGAGTGACTAAACCCGAATCTAATTCCGAATTAATTTTCCCCACAAGAAAATGGAAATCCAATTAATCCGTTCCCAACACCCAAAAGTATTAAAAAAAATTTTCTTTTTACATGAAATATACATTATCCTACACAGTAAACAATGAGACATGCAGAATAAAACATTACTAAAAGACACTTACCTTTATGGAAGACTTACTGATGAGTGATGAGATGGGAGGAGGGGAGAGGATGGGGGTGTACTATTGTTTGGAAGGGGAATCCCCCTCCATAAGGACTTCAGGTACCAAGTCCTTCTCCGGGGTTACTTCTCTTCTTTGTTTTTGAATGCCACTAGGACCAGCTTGAGTCTCGGGACCCCTGTCGCTCAAAAAAGTGTTCCACAGAGGTCTGTTTCTGGCGTTTCTTAAATACTTCCCTAAAATGGGACATAACATTGTCACTGTACATGTTGCCAACATGGCCTGCAACACCTTTGTCAGGGTGATGTTCATCCATAAATGTTTGCACCTTTGTCCACAGTGTACAAATGTCCTTAATCTTTGAAGGCAACTTCCTCCATCTCTCTCTCCCTCCTCCTTTAGAGCAATTTCCTGAGCTGTGGTCTGTTGGTGTTGCAGATGAAGGTCTTGCAGTGGTTACCTGTAGTGGTTAGCTCTTCATCATGATCCTCCACAAACTCTTCTACATCCTCCAAACTCACATCCAACCTCATGGAATTCCCCAATGCCACAATAGATTCCACAACTAGCATAGGCTCCTCAGGGTAAGCCCCAAACCCTTCAAAATCCCTCTCTTGTACACACTGTGGCCACAAATTCCTTCAAGCAGAGTTCAAATTCCTGGAAGTCACTCCCTCCCAAGCCTTACCTATAAGGTTTATGCAACTGAGGATACTGAAGTGATCTTTCCAGAATTCTCTTAGGGTCAATTCAGTGTCTGAGGTCACTTCAAAACACTTTTGAAAAACTGCTTTGGTGTACAGTTTTTTGAAATCTGAAATGACCTGCTGGTCCATGGGCTGGAGGAGGGGAGTGGTATTAGGGGGGCAAGAACTTCACTTTGATGAAAAAACTCCTGCACCATATGTTCTTCCAAGTCTGGAAGATGAGCAGGAGCATTGTCCATTACCAGGAGGCACTTGGGTTCCAATTTATTTTCCAGGAGGTATTTTTTCACACTGGGGCCAAACATGTCATGGAACCAATCAAGGAAAATGTCCCTCATGACCCACGCCTTACTGTCTGCCTTCCACATCATACACAATTTACTCTTGACAACACTTTTTCTTGAACACACTGGGATTTTCAGAGTGATACACCAGTAAAGGCTTCACTTTGAAATCCCCACTAGCATTGCTACAAAACATGAGAGTTAGCCTGTTTTTCATAGACTTGTGTCCTGGGAGTGCCTTTACCTCCTGAGTAATGTAGGTCCTCTTTGGCATTTTCTTCCAAATGAGGTCTGTTTCATCACAATTGAACACTTGTTGGGGTTGGAATTTTTCAGCCTCTATGTACCCCTTGAAGTCCTGAACATATTTTTCAGCCACTTTTTTGTCAGAACTGGCAGCCTCACTATGCCTTATCACACTGTGTATGCCACTACGATTCTTAAATCTCCCACACCACCCTTTGCTGGCCTTAAATTCCCCAATATCAGCACTAGTTCTAGGCATTTTTGTTACGAGATGATGCAACTGCCTTGCCTTTCACATTTTTGACTGCATAACACAATCTTCTGATAATTGTTTCTCACTGATGCACACCAACAATAAAGTCTCCACGTCTTCCAGTATTTGCGATCTCTGTTTTGTAAGCATATTTGCACCTTTTGCAGCAACAGCTTCCTTGATTTCCTTTTTCTTGGCCAGGATAGAAGCAATGGTTATATGGGGTTTGTTACAACCTGGACAGCTCAGCGACACGCACTCCACTCTCATATTTTGCAATGATCTCTTTCTTGAATTCTATAGTGTTTCTCACCCTCTTTACCAAATGGCTGGCACTAGAAGTTTTTTTTGGGCCCATGGTGGCTTATTTAGCAGTAACAAGCACTAAAAAGAATAGAATAATACAAAATGTATCATATGAACGAGTGGGATCGTCCTCACTGGTTGGTAAACAATGGCACACTGGCTGTACATGGAGTGTCCAGGCCGCTCAGGTCATGCGGACACGTTCCAGACGAATGACTTATTCCAAGTTCAGTGCCTATCACCGAGCCAATATTTTGACAAAAAAACATTACCTATTCTGAATATTACTTATTCCGATGACGATTTAACCTGGGGGTCCACTGTACCTGCTTATGATCAAGCAGTGAATCAAAGGAATTTGGAAGGAAACCTCTCATATTATATACAGGAAATTTTAACATTAAACTAATCCATAGAATTTTTTAAATTATAGAATCTATAAAACTTAGAACACAAGGGAAACTAGCAAATACTAAGGAATGAGCTATGATGCAAATAAAGCAGCAAGACGTGTTGCATGAACCTGTACTAGGAATGAGGTAAAATGAGTTATTTAAATTTATATGCAATAAGATCACAGTAAACAGGTGATATCACAATATACAGAACAACCACTGTGAAAAAATAGCGAAATTCCAAGCGAATTCATGACTCCTCACATTATCAAGGAACTACGGTTCCTCGATAATGTAAGAAGTCACGAAAGTGTTTGGAATTTTGCTATTTTTTCACAGTGGCTGTTCTGCATATTTAAATTTATATGCATGTTAGTTGAAAAAATAAAAAATCATTTTTCTCCTTTTCTGTCGCATATGCTGTAACTAAATATTTCATTTGATGAGTCATTATTGCTTTTACCTTTGCTGCCAGCATTGCCACCAGCCCATCCACCAGCAACGTTGATGATGGCATCTACTTTATCGTTCCCTAATGCAGCTTTCAACCCTGTGAAAAAATTTTTTAATTAAAACAATCATTTTTTTTTAAACACATTGGCCATCCCCCACTGAGGCAGAATGACCTGGGGGGGGGGGGGACACTTTCACCATTATTCACACTATCACTGTCTTGCCAGAGGTACACAGATATGACAGTTTGGATGCCACTTTAAACAGCAAATATCCCAAACCCCAGTGCAGGCACTGTACTTCCCACCGCCAGGACTCAAGTCCGGCTAGCCAGTTTACCCTGAATCCCTTCACAAAATATTACCCTGCTCACACTCCAATGGCTTGTCAAGTCCCAAAAAATCACTCTTGTCTGACATGCTCACACATGCCCGCTGTATGGATATATTACTGAGCAGGCAATTTTGTGGCCCATGGCTCAATTCTCTGGCTTCAAGAGGCAGTGTTACTTTTTAAATCAAATTTAAGCTAGCATGTCAAAATCATCACGGAGTCATATTTTTTTTTACATGCACTGAAGAGACATTCATCCCTATTTTACTCAGTGTAATAATAGCTCTGGTGACAGTGAAGGAATTGACTTAACTCTTATTCCAGTCCCTTCACTAGTATCAAAGCCGCTATTGCAGGGTACTCAGATAAAACAAATTCCAACAGAAATTTATATTAATACCAATAAGACCTTAACTACCACAATACATCAAAAGCCATGCTGCATAATTTACCTTGGGGTAAAAAAGTACCAAAACTTAACTCTGGACTTTTATTTTGACAATAAATCATGCTAATTTTAAAACAAGAATGACATTGTGAAGGCTTTAATACAGTCTCTCAGGCACAAAGAAAGAAAAATAAATATAGTAATCTATATACAGCAGAATTCCCATATCCACAGATTTGGTTTCTGTGGTTTCAGTTATCCAAGGTTTACCATGGTCCAGGAATAACCCTCAATTTTGCTCAACCCCTTTCAGGGTCAAGACCCCCAATCCTGAACTCCCTCTCAGGGTCAGGGGAAAAAAAAAATATGAAATGATAGAGAATCTTTTCCCGATGGTAATCACACCAAAAGAATGAAATTTGATGGAAACTTGCGGAATTATGCTCTCATGAAGTTAGCGGTCTCAACGATATTCACGCATCAGCAATTTCACCCAGTTTGAGCCCTATTTTTGGCCAATTCTAATGTTCCAGTCTACTAAAGTCATAGCTATTTCACTAGAACTTCATTTGTTCTACCAAATGAGTACAAGAAACTGCCCATTTACCAATTTTAACTACCCAATGGAGTGGTCAAAACTTGGCAATTTGGCCAATTTCACAAATTTCAAAAGATGCCAATTTCAAAATAGGGTCCAGAATAAACAAGACACATTCCTGGCACTAGAATAAAATTTTCTGTTCATTAGTCACGTCTCCAGGCCCTTCTTATATTACTCTTGCTTTCCATTTTGAATTTTTATTCTCACAAAAAATAAGACTTACTGTTATGCAGACTATTGCATTATTATAAAAAATGGTATAAATAATATCAGCACACTTATGAAAGAATATCAGACTCACCAGCTGACGTGTATTTGTTTACTCTTGAACATCAGCAAAAATCAAACATTTCCGCTACTTTGTGCTCAATTTCAAGGTACTCTTCATTGTGAAACCAATCAAAATCATCTTTATTTCTGTAATATGTCTTCCATTCTATCAAATGAGATCAAGAAAACGAGAATACAACCATAAATACCATACAGAAATACACTGCAAAGTCGCTGTTTTAAACCAAATACATGATCGGAGTTTTTTTTCTCATGGACTGCGTGCTGCAGGATTTTTTTTATACTGCATACACTGACCATGCAGACCCATTCTTTCATATGTAGGCCTACCAGCTTTCTTCTGCTCGATTTGAAGGCACTAGAATTTACGTGTACAAGTACAGCATCGACCCTAGCTCTCAAGCCATACAGTTATGGCACCAACCCTGAAAGGGTTAATAATGGCCCCAAAGAGCAGAAGTAGTGATCCTGGCAGTTCTTCAAAGCCTAAGAGAAGCTGTAAAGTGCTTCCCATCAGTGAAAGAGGGCTAATTCTTGACATACTGTGCATAATTTATCAATTAAACTATCATAGTTTGAGAAAACTGGAAAGTTTACACCATACTGAGATTTCATAGGGATGAAACATTTTTGTATTCAAAGAATTTTAATTAATAGAATGCTGAACTGTAAATAAATATTTTGCATAATACAACTGCTCACTAAAAGTGAACAAAGATAAGTGCAAGGTGATGACAGTAACAAAGTCTAGGTAATGATACTGAATATCAGAGTGGAGGGAGTAATGAGGTAGTGGTCTGAGGGCAATGTGTGATTTAACTATTATGCAGAAAATTTGTAATTTGGAAATTAGGAGGTGTGTTGTTACTAAAAGTATATTATCCAGAGGGCTTGGGAGGGGTTGCTGAGATGGTTTGGTTATTTAGAGAGGATAAAGCAAAATAAGATGACTTGGAGGGAGTATTAATCTGTAGTGGAAGGGGTTGTCTTAGGAAAGGATGGAGGGAGGGGGTAAAGGAGATTTTGTGCAAGGGGCTTGGACATCTAGTAGGTATGCGAGTGTAAGACAGGAGTGAGTGGAGGCAAGTGGTTTTGGGGAAGATTCAGGAAAACCGGTCAGCTGGACTCGAGTCCTGGAGGTGGGATGTACAGTGTCTGCACTCTCAAGGAGGGGGTAGGGATATCTGCTGTTTCGAGGGACATCTAAACTATTATATCTATGTGCCTCTGGCAAGACAGTGATAGTGTGAATTGATGGTGAACATGTTTCTCTCTCAGGTCACCCTACCACAATGGGAAACAGCCAGTGCAAAAAAAAAAAAAAAAAGGGGGGGGGGCGGAGATATTATCAGATGAGTCTATAAAAGACGAGGTACACCACAAAACAGACGAGAGGGGTGATGAGGAAGGTCTGAGGTATGTTGAAGTACAGTATCTGTGGAAAAAACTTATGGAGGGGAAAAAAAAAAAAAGGAATGTACAAGGTACAGTGGAACCTCGGTTTTCGTTTTTAATTCATTCCATAGAATTTGACGAAAATCAAATTCGACGAAAACTAAAGCAATATTTCCCATAAGAAACAATGTAAATCTAATTAATTCATTCCAGACACCCAAAAATATTAACAAAATATACATTTTATAGAGAATAACTGTAGTTTTATATACAAAAAACAATGAGAAAAATATAAAGCACTAATTTTAATGGATAAATAAACATTTAAATCAGTTTTACCTTTACTGAAGAGACTTGTTGGCCTTTTCACAAATTATCGCCTCCACAACACTATCTCCTAACTGCTCTTCGTTGAACCACACCAACAACAACTTCTCAACATCTTCGATTGTTTGCGATCTCTGTTTTAGTAGCATACTTACCCCTTTCGCAACATCAGATTCCTTGATTTCTTTTTTCTTCACCAGGATGGAACTGATCATCGAGGAGGACTTCCCATACATCCTGGTGAGATCAACCACACATACGCCACTTTTGTACTTTTCTACACGTTCTTTCTTGAATTCTATCGTGTTTCACACCTTCTTTATCAAAGGGTTGTCAGATGGAACTTTCTTTGGCCCCATGGTGGCTTATTTAGCAGTCACAGTCAATGAACAAGCACAGAAAAACAATCAATTACTAAAAAATGTTTCGTACGACAAGAAACAAAGCCAAGACTGACTCAGAATGCGTGCATGGCATGCTTTGTGTAGGCACGGGTGCGCGGACATGTTCAGTACAGCGGACGAAAACCAAGGTGACAAACAAAAACTGGGACACTATTTTGACGAAAAAAGTAGTCGAAAACCAGGGCAAACGAAAACCAAGGCTCCACTGTATAGTGGTACTAACACTTATATGGATGTGAGGCATGGATTCTAAATGCTCCAATGAGAAGCTGAAGGCAGCGAAGATGTCACAAATCGAGATGCTTTAATGCACCACCCACCATTCCCCTTCCCCTTTTTATTCTACTATTTAACTCTCTTTCATAGACCCTTCTTCTAACAGGTCCAATTTACTTCCAATTTACTTCCTCCATTCTCCCTCTAATCTGATACACCACCTTGATCTTTTCTGTTTACTTCTAATTTCCTTCTTTTAAACACCCTCTCAAATTTCTTCACCAACCTCCTTTCAGAATCTCAAATGGCACACTGAAGCACAATATTCCTATTCCTGTTCCTCCTCCAGGGCACAGGCACTGAATTTCCCATCTTCAGGACTTGAGTCTGCCTAACTGGCTTCTCTGAATCCTTTCATAAATACAGTAATGTATATAACTTTGCTCACACTTAATGGCACAACATTCTAAACACCTCATCCCCCCTCACTAGCCCTCCCCCCTTAAATATGCACATACAAACCATTGACCGTGATCAAGCACATACCCACTTTAATATTCTTCACACCCTCCTTCTTCCCTCCACCCATCTCTGATGTACTTAATCCTCCTCCTTTCCACTCAAATTTAACTAACTTGGTCCTCCAATTTCGCTCCAATAATCTCTAAAATGATGCCCCTACAACCTTCAAAAATGCTCTGATCCCTCTGAATTATACCGGGGGGGGTCTCCAACACACACTTTCTACAGTTCCTAAGTTCACTCTCCAAATTTCATTGCTCTCCAAACACACCATCTCCACTGCCTCCACGCCACCGCCTCAACTGCAAGCAAATATTGAATGTAAATTATTATATCTGCATTGCTCTTTCACAGGAACCCCTAATTTCACGCACCAATAAAGACTATTGAATCTGTTCAATAAGTCCCTTCTTTTATCTTTTTTCCTGGAAAGACAGCACTTTACTAAAAAAATCCATCATAGTCCTAAGTTTCTCCTTATAACAAGACTGGGATGCATAGTTTTATCTTACCAGAAAGAATTACTTCTGCCTGTGCAGACCAATTTCATCTTAGATACAATGAATATTTAGGTATCTGCTTCTTCAGTAGATGCCATCAATGGTCCCCACCCACTGAAAAAAAACAATGTCTTAATAACTTTACACTTCCATAAAGTTAAAATTATATTTAATTAAAATCTATGTGAAGTTAATACATCAGGCAAAAAAATATTAGTTCAAAGGAATGCAGATTTATTTTTACTATTTCACAGTTAGTCTAATCTTTAGAACGGCATTGCATAACTAGGGGCCTAATAAGTAAACATTGTAAGAACTAAAAATAAATATATAAAGATATAATATATATAAATAAATAAATATACATATATATATTATATATATATATAATAATATATATATATATATAACAATATATAAATATATAAAATATAATAGATAGATATAAATATATATACATATATATAAATATATAAATAATATATATATATATATATAAATATAATACGACACAATATATATTATATATATATATATATAAATATCTATATATGATATATATATATAAAATACAAAATATATATATAATATAATATATATAATTTATATATATATATATATATATATACATATATAAACATTATATATATACATATATATACATATATATATATATAATATATATACATATAATATATATATATACATATATATTACATATATATATATATATACATATATATATACATAATATAAATAATACATAAATATACATATATACATTATAAATACATATATACATATATATACATATTAATATATATATATATATATACTATATATACATATATATTACTATATAACATATAAATATATATAAATATACATATATATATATATAAACCTAAATATATATATAATATACATAAATAATATAATAATATATATATATAAATAATATAATATATATAATATACTATATATACATAAATATATTATAATACAAAAATATACAAAAATATATATATCTATAATAAAAAAATATATATATATATATAAATATATATATATACAACATATATCTACAATATATAATATACAATAAATATATAATATAAATGATATATATATATATATAATATATATATATAACAATATATAATATATATATTATATATATATAAATAAATATAAAATATATATATACAATAATATATACAAAAGATATATACAATATATATATATATATAATATATATATATCATATATACATATATATATATTATAAAATATATATATATATAATATATACAAAATAAATATCATATATATAATATACAATATCTATATAAATATATATATATATATAATAATATAATACAATAAAATATATAATATATATATATATATATATATATATATAATATATATATATATATATAAACAATATATATATATATATATATATAATATATATATAATTATATATATATATATAAATAGATATATATATACAATAATATTATAATACATATAATATATATATATATATATAAATATATATATATATATGATATATATTCAATATATAATATACATAAATATATATATAACAAAAAATATATATAAATATATAAATATAATATATATAACAATATATATTATTTAAATAAATATAATAATATAGATATATACACAAATATTATATATAAATATAATATATATATATATATATATATATATAAATATATATATATTATATATATCACCAAATATATATATATAAATATATATATATATATATAAATATTCTATAAATATCATATATATATATATATATTTCAAGATATATATATATAATATGTGTGTGTGTGAGTGAAAGGAGGTTTTGTGGTAGGGGCTTTGGACTTCCATCAAGCGTGCGTGAGCGGTTAGAAGGAGTAATGGAGACAATGTACTTGGACCAAGATGAACGCTCTGTTGGAGTGTGAGCAGGGTACTAATTTAGTGAGGGATTCAGGAAACCGTTATTTTCAAATAGCGGACTTAGTCCTGAAATGAATACAATGCCTGCCACTTTTAAAGGAGGGTTTGGGATATTGGGCAGTTTTGGAGGGAAATTTTGTATCAATTATATGTGTATGCTTCTAGACTGTTGTAATACATGAGCAACCTCTGCAAAAACAGTGATAATGTGCGAAGTGTGGGTGAAAGTTTGAATATGAAGAAAAGTAATTTTCTTTTTGGGATTCTTCTTTCTTTTTGTGTCACCCTGCCTCGTTGAGAGACGGCCGTCTTGTTGAAAAAAAAAAAAAAAAAATATATATATATATACTGTGGACCCCCGCATAACGAATGGTCCATCACATACGATTATTTCGCATACCTCTACTTTTAATTGCCAAAATTTTGCCTCAACATACCGCTTAAAAACCACCGCTTACTTAAACCGATTTTCGTTTTCGTCCAGAGACGCGTCCAATGTGCGGCCCCTGACCACGCTCACATGTTTCCGCCGGTGGCATTGTTTACCCACCAGCCAGCCTCCCGCGGTAAAATCCAAGCATACCATCGAATTTTCGTATTATTACAGTTTTTCGTGCTTTTTTTCTGGAAAAGAATGAACCATGGGCCCAAGAGAAAGCTTTACAGGCCAAACCCTACAAGCAATAAAGGTAATTACAATAGAGATGAGACAAAATCATTGATTAAGTATGAAGTGGAGTGGCATGTCCTCCGAGGCGCCAGGTTGTATAATAAACCCCAAAAATCACATCGCTACTATTGTGTACAGCTGCTGCTGCTGCTGCGCACTGTCCAGATCTGACGCAGCGTCTGCACTGTCAGCTGCTGCTGCTTCTGTAGCACCGTTTGTTTTGGTGTGGCTTATTGAGAATACCAAGAAACAATTAACCCCAGAGGATTTGCCACCCAGGATAAACCCAAAAAAGTCAGTGTCAACCCGAAGACGTCTAACCTTATTCCATTGGTCCTTAATCTAGTCTCCCAGGATGCAACCCACAACAAGTCGACTAACACCCAGTGAACAGGGAAAAAATGCCTGAAACTATTGCTCATATGGTGAATTAAAGCCAGCAAAGGTTGGTTTGACAGATTTAAGAAACGAGTGGTCATATCACAGTGTGATAAGGCCGTTCTGGAAAAAATGCCAAACCGGACCTACAGTACTCAGGAAGAAAAGGCATCCGCAGGACACAGTGTCTCATCCGGTCCATTGCTGCATCTTCAATAAAGGTAAGTGTCATTTATTCTTCATTTAGTAGACAAGTACATGCACAATCTATACTGTGCATGTACAACTACTCAACTATTGTGCAAGACACCATCACAATTAGAGTGGGAAACTGTCACTAACAAGATGTAAAATTTTGTTATTTTAAATCCTACTTTGAGGCGTGTGTCATGCCGATTAAAATGAACTTCAATTCACAAGCGATATTTCTGATCAATAACAATTACCCCACTAGCCCCTGATTAAAAACCTTTAACCGTGAGGGTCCCACATTATTATTATTATTTCATACGTAAAATAATAATATATGAACGTATGTTAAATATAATCTATATAAATATAAATTATTATATCGATAAATCTAAAAATAAATAAAATAAAAAGGACAGTGAGTAGGTATGACGGCAACCACCCAGGAGGTACTATCCGACCTGCAATTTTGCAGAGTAAAACGAAAGCCTGTGATTTATTTACGATGGTAGGATTGCTGATGTCTTTTGTCTGTCCATAAATATGCAGATTAACAGGCCTGCCTTGCTACACTCTACTTACACTACAAGTCACACTACACATACATGAACACATTTATTTATACACACTCATCGGGGGGGGAGTGGCTGAGAGTTTAACTTAATAGTTCTTGGTCTTATTAATTTTCCTTTTAATCCATGGGGAAGTGGAATAAGAAAACTTTCCTCCTAAGCATGCTTGTTGTAAAAGTCAACTAAATGCCGGGATACAATGGGCCTAGTAACCCCTTTTCCTGTTAAAGATTTACTAAAAGAATAAGAAGACGAAAATTGCAAAGTGGGATAGTCTGAATGTGCGTGATGTTGTGCAGTATGATAAGAAAGAGATATGATTGAGGACGTTAGAATGAGAAGAAAGCTGGATGTCCTGGCTTAAGTGAAACAAAGCGAAAGGGGTGGGAGAGTTTCAGTGAGAAGGAATAAACGGGATTATGTCAGGGGTCTCAAATAGAGTTAGAGCTAAAGAAGGAGTAGCAATAATGTGAAGGAATAAGCTATGGCAGGAAAAGAGGGACTATAATGTATTAAATTCAAGATAAAAGTGGAGAAAATAAAGATTGGATGTGAAAAAGTGTTATAATAACGTGCATGCACCTGGAGAAGAGAGAAAGTGTAAGGAAGAAGAGAGAGATTTTTGGAATGAGAGTGAATGAGTGGGGATGTTTGAATCAAGTGGAGAGAATGGTGGTTGGGATCAATGCTAAAGTGGGTAAAATGTTATGGAGGGAGTATGTAATGTAAATTTTGGGGTGCCAGGGGTAAATGTTAAAATTGGGGAGCCTACGTACTTGACAATGAGTAGAAAGAAATTTGGGTAATAAGTAATACATATTTTTATGAAAAAAGGATAAATAAATAACAAGGTATGATGATAGCACTAATGAAATAGTTTATTAGATTATGTATTGGTGGATAAAGGTTGATGGAGGTAGCTCCGCAGGATGTACATTTTATAGAGGGGCAACTGATATATCGATCATTATTTAGTTGTAGCTACGTTAGAGTAAAGGTAGATTGGAAAAAGAGAAGGTGGCAACAACAAGTAAGAGGAGGAAAGTGAAATAAACTGAGGGAGGAGGAAGTTCAGGTGATATATAAGCTACTATTGGCAAAAGGTGGGCGAGAGCAAAGATTGGTAGTGGGGGGGGGTTGAAGAGGGTTGAAATATTAAAAATGCAGTATAAAAATGTGGGCAGAATTGTGGTTATAAAGAGGGTGGGAGCAGGAGAAAGAGGAGTTATTGGTGGAATGATGAAGTAA